AAAGGAAAAAATCACTCAATATATGTTGAATAAATTGTATTTTTGTCCATATATGGAAAACATTGCCGAAATCAAGTTCTTATAGCATGTTTTATTGTTGTTGCCTATTGGAAAAACAAAGGAAAGTATAGTTTCAATTGTTTGGCATCAACATATTATGACTATTATTGCCCCGCGATTGAAGAATCAGTTTTATCTAAAATGCAGAAAGAAAAAATGTCAACTTTACCATATACATTAACCCTTTACAGGCCAAATTATGACAAATTAATGTAAAAAATATTATTTTTTGTTATACTAACAATTTAAGTTAACAAAATAAGTTATTGAAAAAAAATATTCAAAATTTTGTTATTTTGGTCAAATTTGGGTTTGATGCCATATGGCATCATCGGTCAATAAAGATAACATCTGAAAACGTTATCTTTATTGACTTTATTAAAGTTATAAAATATTTTTATTGAACTATATATAAACAGCACAGGCAGAAAACTTTTTGTTCAAAAAACATGTTTATTCTAATGTATGTAAGCAGTAAATACAGTTTTATTCAATTGTGGAAGTCTACATAGCAGTTGCGATTGGCTAACATCAAAGGAAAACATTACATTTTGCACACATCATTCTGCTATAACTCTGACACAGCCTACATCTTTTTTTATCTTTTTGTGGTTTTGGCCAGTGTCCTATATGATCATACCTAATATCATTAATAGGGATTGGTATGACTGGTTTCTTTCTATTCCTTTGTTGAACTTGCTTGATACTGCTAAGTTTAGCTGGTCTTCTCCTACCCTGGATTGCTTTTAATTTATTCGCTTGGATAAGAGCATTTAAAATACCTACTGTAAATTCTGCTAATGCTTGATGTTTGTTGATTGGAAGACCTAATTGCTGATAATGCCATTTATTTAAGATCCAGGCATTCACTTTGGTCACATCTACAAAATGCCAGAACACTTTGATGTACCATTGTCGTGTTTTTATTTCTGTGCGGTACAAGGCAACTAGCATATCTGCTAGATCTACACCTCCCATGCATTTATTGTATACTGCCACTATATATGGGCAGGCAATGTTTTTTTTTCTTTTGTTTTGCTGCACCAGCGAAAAAGTTGGATACTAAATGTACAATATTGTTGTCTAACCATTTCACAACAATTAGTGCAGAATTTTTATCAATACGATAATCAAGTGAACCTCTATCTTGTTTCTTGAGTTCTTTTGATGGTATTACTCAGTAATAGTAAACCCAGTAATTTACTGGGCACCCATGTAAATGATTTGGTTTGATTGTGCCTGCAGCTTTTATTCCAATAGGTATTGGATCAAATCAAGGGTGGAAATATCATAAAGACAATTCCTTTTGGCCAATGACGCCATGTGGCATCATTTACTTTTGAAAATTTATAATACACAAGATAATGATCACTTTTTAACTAAAATACCCTCAAATAAATCTTTGTTATTTATATTTTGAATATCATTTAGTAAAGTGTTTTATAAATGTGTTATCTAAATACAAAATGAAAAAAATAAAAATGAGATATTTGAGTTTTTACATCTTTTCTCTACTACTAATAAACCAAGTGTTTACTTCTTACAAAGTATGTTCTACCATTATGAAAAGTTTTAGCGTGTGTACACCTTGGTGTTGAATAACAAGCAAAAGCATTCTCCTTATTACAGGCTTTAGTAAGCTATAGAAGAACTCCTAAAGTCACTGAAGCCGTATGGCACCACTGGCCCATAAAGGGTTAAGAAGTTTAAAAGCCGGAATCAATTCAATCTAAAAATCAAAACCCATAATAGAAAAGAGTTTTGGGAAAATTTCTCAAAAGCTTTTATGTTTAATTCTTCAATTTCAAAATTATATATTATAAACATTTTGTGCGCATAGAAATTTCCTTGTTATTTGTTTTTCTTTTTGTATTATTACTTAATTCATCTTCTAAATACATTTATTTTACATTAAAATTTTTTAATTTTCAAACAGGTGCAACTAATATAACTTGTTTTGTAATATTAGTCACTCGTGTCGGAAGGTCAAAAACGTTAGAGGGGGAGGGCGGAAACAAAAACTAAAGCAGGCTAGGGCAACAAAAAAAAAATTTGAATGAAATTTAAAAAAACTTGGGAGGGAAGTGCCCCCCCTCCCGTTTTTAAGACATTTATTTAATTAAAGATATTAGAAAACCATCAAACAAACAGAGATGACGAGTTAATAAAAACTTAAAGAGTTAATAAATTGGAAAAAATGAAAACTATAATAAATATAATATTTCTATATATTCTTTTAAAATATATATAATTTAATAGAATATATAGAACTGTTATGTTTATTATAATTTTTATTTTTTACTGTGTGTTTAACAACACCAATAAGATTAAATTTAATTAAACGATAATCAGAAAATTAAAAAAAGTTTTGATGAAAGCTATGTTTTAGCATGGTTTCTTATAAAGAAATTCCAAATGCAATCATTTTAACTAAAATTTCATATGCTTTTGTAAACGCATGTAAAAACCATGCTAAAACATAATTACTTTCTTCAGTTGCATATTTAATTATTAAACTTAAAAGTAATGCTATTGAAAAAATAATTAGAATGCTTTTTTTTTTAAATCATTAAAAATGTGTTTTAAATTTTAGTAACTTATTGTTTTTTTTATAATAAATAAAAAGCTATCAATCGCATAATTATTTGGAAAAAAAAATTTCTGAAGTTAAGGGTCGTCCATAAAGTACATACACTTTTTGTCCACCTCCCCCTCCCCTATTTTGCAATAGGCTTTTTTGAGTACCCACCACCTCCCTAAAAGTATCTACGCTTTAAACCTATTTATCTAACATTTTATGATATCTTTTTCAATATAGTTTCTCTTTTCATTTATAATTAACCCTTTGCCCTCTCATCGCATATATGTCATTTGCAGACCCCCTCTTCCTCTCCCAGCATAAGTAATATATGTACAATCCCTTATGCGTTCATTTTTAAGAATTTTAAGCATATGCCAACATTAGCTTAAGTAAAAGTAAGAAAATGTGACATTTAATTTTTTTAAAAATTAAATGTCACATTTTAACAAACATTCGCACGTTCGTTGTTTGTCGCGCCCTAACATTGTTTGTTTTTACGGCAAATATTACTTTTTTCTCAAAAACAAAATGCCTACATATGTTAATGTTTACGCCAAATTTCCTTATTTTCCTAGAATTGCCCCTATATATATATATATATATATATATATATATATATATATATATATATATATATATATATATATATATATATATATATATATATATATATATATATATATATATATATATATATATATATATATATATATATATATATATATATATATATATATATATATATATATATATATATATATATATATATATATATATATATATATATATATATATATTTATATATATACTTTATAATTATGTATTGATTAGTTATGTTTAATACATTTAAAATTAAAGCATTAGTATAAAACAAATATTTAAACAAATATTTTTTATTACTGTTATTATATAGAATAAATATTAGCTTTAAAAAAATATCATTCAAGTCAAGATAACACACAGATATAACACAGACTAAAGTATGTGGATATTTTGCAAATATATCTATGAAAAAAAAATCTAAACAAAAATATGCTACCCTGCAATGTCTGATGTAACAAGATCATTACAACTGGATCCTGCAAAGATTGTTTTAGTGCCTGTTTAGATACAAGAGTGTCAAATAAAAAAGAAAAAAAATATAACAGAATTAGAAGCATTTATACTAACACTAACAAAGAAGTATAAAAATACAAAAATGTAAAGATATAAAAAATACGAAAAAAATAACAGTCATATATCTATTAAAACATTAAAAAACTTATATAAACATTATAAAATATAAAAAAAGTTATATAAACAAATTTAAAAAACGAAAACAAATGCACATATTGAATGACATTCAAAAAAAGGGACTGGGATTTAATTATCATAACTCCCTTAAAAAGTAAAGTAAATCAAAAAAGAAATTTTGTTTAAACAGATTTTATGATTTATAGCGAGTTTTATACCATTTTCTTTTCTTGCTATGTTTTAAAAAACCCATAGCAGTTTATTTTTATCAAAACTTTAAGTAAACTTGATTACATTCATTCAAGATTGTTCATGTAAAAACTTCATTATTTGTATTAATCCAAAATTAAAAAGAAAGAATCGATAATTGACTTTTAATTTTTTTAAATTTTTGACAAGATAAACTAAAAAAACTTGCAACTGCTTCTTGATGGTCTAAATGTTTTGAAATAAACATTTTTTTTTCTTGGTTTTTAATAACTAACTTTTTTAGCAGCCTGAGAATCTAGTTGAGAATTTATATTTAGATGGTCAAACAAAGATTTGATTTTTTTAAACTATTCCTTCACTTCCTTTGACTTTTTTGTAGCCAAATTCTCTTTTAGTACATTTAGTAGACAAATTCACTCTTAGTACAATTTGTAGCCAAATTCACTTTTAGAACATTTAGTAAACAAATTCACTCTTAGTTCATTTAGTAGACAATTCACTTTTAGTACATTTAGTAGCCAAAATTACTTATAGTACATTTAATTATCACACAGATGATACTTTTAAGGAAATGCTCTTTGCTTTTAAGTGGAATATATAAAAAACATTTAATTTCTATTTACCTACTGAAATTTAAATAGTACTCATACACATGTTTTGTAATTTATAATATATAATAAAATCATAATATATTCTAAAATATGTTTTCTTATCATTTTAGCTTATATTTTAAGGAAGTTGAAAGTCTTTGAATCCAGTTCCATTTTTAGTTGTCACCCCTTAAATGCCTTTTTATTTGCTAAATATGAGCAATTCTATGCAATACTATATAAAGGATTTTACAACCAATTGCAATCAGTTGCAAAAGGTTGCAACTACTTACAAACTTTGCTTCTTAAATCCCATACTTTTATTGTTCTATCATAACTTCCAGACGCTATTTTGCTCGAATCTGTTCCAAGAAACTTTGCTGTCATTACTTTATTGCTGTGTCCTGTCAAAGTATGCTAAAGTGAATTTTATTAAATAAATCAAAATAAATAAGTAATTAGATAAAATAAAATTTTATCTAAAATAAAACCCTGACCACCCCTTTCCCTCCCTCCACCTTATCAGTAGCTAAATATTGTGCATTTAACAATCTACTTTTCACTATTTATTTCTTATTATTATATTACTATTGTATCAGTGCTGAAAATAACAGCTAATCGATGATCTCCTAATATTTATTTTGGCCAATCAAATTTGATTAGGAAAACTGTTAGGCAAACTTAATAAAAAATTCAAATTTTCTTCCAAAGTTTATTAAATGTTAAATGAATTTATATGAATGAATTAAATTTATTTTGAATGAAACAAATTTGAAATACTAGAAATGATATTTAAATCCAAATAATAAACAACAAGACACTTTGATCAATGAGAATAGTTTAGGATTGTTATGATCACTTAAAATCAATATAACAATTTAAACAATTTAATTTTGCCTGAGTTGTTATAAAGATGACGATTAATGATCTCAAACTTTTGTTTGAGATCATTAAACGTCAAAGTCATGTGTTTTCATTTTAAGTATTATTAATGCACAATGGTTCAGGACCATGCTATAAATGCAAAAAAATTATTTATTTTATAATAAAAAGCAATTAAAAAATTATATTATATATGTTTTGTGAAAACTATATTTAAACTTTCAAGGTCTGTAACTTATAAAATAATTATCTAAGAACGATTCAAAAATTTCAAAAATTAAAGAAAATTACATTTTTTTTCGGGGAAAAACCCGAAACTACCAACATTTATACATGCTCATTCTAAACAATGTCACAGATATACCAATTTTTTATCATTATAATTATTAAAATCAACATAAAGTAATTTAAAATATACAACTTTATAAAAAAGACACAATTAGCTCCATGTTTAACCTTTTTTTAAAAAAATTTGAATTGTTAATTTAAAAAGGTCTTATAATATAATAATATAATGATCTTATAATATAAGATTTTATAAAAATCTCAAAAAAGTTAAAAAAAAGTAAACTATTTTGATAAACAACCTTTATTATTACACTATATTATATTTCAATAATGTTTTCATTAAAACCTTTTTTATTCTTTTTGATTTCAATAAACTTAACTCTTTATTTATTAAAAATATTTATTTTGTTTTACATTATTTATTATTTTAAGCATTTTACTGTAAAAGATGCACTGATTTTTTCATTGACATTAAATAAGGTAATTAGTATAATTAGGTAATTAGTAATGAGTTTCTTTTGAATTGGGGAGAATAACAATCAGGAGATAACATTAATATATTATAATCAGGAGATAAAATTATTATATATACTATTATTATTAAGTAGATTAATTTATATGCTATTAGTTTAAAAAAAAAAAAATTTCATAATATCATTATAATACTAATCGTTAAACTTCGTTTAACAAATAGTATTTATTTATCGCATTGTTTTCCTTTAACAAATTAAAGAAACATTAGAGTGGATTAAAATATATTGTCAAAACATAGATTTTATGAAAATTTGATACAAGAAACATGACAACAACTATTCCTAATTACCTCAATGGCAAACTGTTTTCATATTTTCTTGTATTATGAACTGTAAAAAAAATGCAATTTTAACCTTTTTTAGAAAAAACAACAAAAAGTACGTGCCAGACAAAGAAAAGAAAACAATAATGAAAAAAATTTTTTTTGTATGGAATACTGTTGTCACATTTCGGCTGGTTCTTCTAATGAAACCTTTAAGGCACGGTACAAAATTGCAATGTAAATGTTGTTGATCCTGCCGCTAACCGAGAGCCTCTGTCCAATTTTTACAAAGTTGTGTCAATTTTTTTTCTTCTAAATATACTAAAATGGTTGATTTTTTTGCTTGAAAATCTTCCTTGAACATTAAATTCTCTCTCATCAACACTTTTATCTGATAATTACTGACAATACAATTTAAAGTTTTGAAAGTCATCTGTCAACTGCTTTCTTGCTCTTCAACTCTTTTATATATAGATAAGTTTTATATATATATATATATATATATATATATATATATATATATATATATATATATATATATATATATATATATATATATATATATATATATATATATATATATATATATATATATATATATATATATATATGATAAAATATCCCAAAAATATTTATAAAACTCAACTATACATTAAAACTAATTTTTATAGTTTTATATATACATTTTAAACCTAAACAACATTTTAAAAAATTTTTTTATAGTTTTTATATAATTTTTAAGAATAAACAACATTTAAAAAAAAAAAATTATTTTAAACCTAACTCCCATTTTATAAAAAAAAAAACTGTTATTTTAGTGCGACATAAATATAAGTCACTTTTGAAAAAAATTCATATTAATTGTCATTTTTATAAAAAGACGTCTCAATTTTAAACAATCAATTGTGGGTACTATTCTTTTGAATCACTTCAATCACTCTAGAAGGTAAAGAATCGTACAACTTTTTTATGTATGAAATATCAATTGCATCCCATGCAGATGCAATGGATGATTTCAAGTCAGCTACTGGACTATATTGTTTACCACCTTCAAACACTATATGTGACAGCTGTGTCCAAGCATTCTCAATAATCTTAAGGTCTGGAGATCTAGCTGTTCAATGTTTCAATTTTACTGCTGTTGAAATATTCCTTTACTATCTTAGCTGTTGAATGCTAGCATTATCTTGCTGAAAAATAAAACTTTCATCACCTATAACAGATGTTTCACTTCTTAAAAATTCTTAAACAATTAAAAGATAATCCTTAGTCTTCATTTTTCTGTCAATAAAATGAGTTTTTGATTTACCATGATACCCAATCGCACAACAAACCAATACACCACCACCACCCATTTAACGTTGTTGCTGTGTTATTGGTTCTTTATGCAAATTGTGAAATTAATAATTCCATCTACCCGGCTAATCAAGATAAAATCATTTTTAGTCAGAAAATACTACTTGTTGGCACTCTTCCATGTTACATGACCCTTTACAAAAGTTATTTGATTGTTTATGTGATTTGTTGTTAAAGGTGGTTTTCCCTAAAGTTTTTTGTGCGAAAGGTAAAAAGTATTATGAATAACTCGCTAAACTGTACGTAATTAGCAATCACACCTGCTTCTGAGCAATTTGATGTGCAGCTAATGAAGAATTTAAAGCTTGTCTCAACAACCTTCGCCTATAATGGTCACTTAATGTTGGTAGACGTCCGGGACTTTTTTTATTCCATACATACTATTAACGTAGTTTTTAATCACAGTTCAGCTGCACCCAATAGCTCTAGCCATGTAACTAACAGAGTGACCCATTTTAAATAAGTTAGAGAGCACATTTTTCTCATCTAGACTTAGTGATGCAGCACGACATATTATTAATTAATTTGCTATTTTATACTTAATAAAAAAAAATCTAAACTAAATTTTTGACAGTTCACAAAATTTAACAGTTAAATAATCGTCTGTGGTGTTTACATCAAATAAATATTCTTAATTGCCTACTACTGCAGTTTGCAAATAAAAAATTTTTTTGTATAATTGTCTTCTAATTTAGTCGCACTGAAAAAAAGTTTTTTTTTTTTTAAATAAAATGCGAGTTACGTTAAAAACAAATTTGTTAAAATGTTGTTTAGTGTTGTAAACCCTTTGCTTTCATTTACAATAAAAAATAGTTTTTCAATATAAATGTATAGTAGAGTTTTATAAATCATTTTGGGATGTCTTATCATTATGTCGCGCAGTGTATATGTGTATATATATATATATGTGTATATGTGTATTTATATGTGGTAGTGGTGCAGTGGTAAGAGCGCTCGCTTTGTAAGCAAGCGGTTCAGAGTTTGACTCCCACCACGTCCCTGGAAGTACTGCGTTCAACTTAATTTCTCCGCCCAGCGGTCTTGCTTGTTAAGGATCGTGTTTCGGAGTTAAAGAGTTGAGAGAGGGTTGTACCACAATTAACATAAAAAAAAAAAAAAAAAAAAAAAAAAAAAAAAAAGAGTAGCCTCCTCGTCTCTAGTGGCCCCCTAGGGCCTTGGGGAGGTGAATAATTAAAAAAATATATATATATATATTTTGTTATTCACCTCTTTACGGCCGAGAAGGCCACTACAGACGAGGAGGCTACTTAATTGTGGTTATAACCCTCTCTTAACTCTATAACTCCGAAACAAGAACCTTGACAAACAAGGCCGCTGTGCGGAGAAACAAGTTGAGTACGGTACTACCAGGGACATGGTGGGGATCGAACTCGGAACCTCTCGCTTATGATATATAATATTACATCTCTGATGTAATATTATATATATATATATATATATATATATATATATATATATATATATATATATATATATATATATATTTATATATATATATATATATATATTTATATATATATATATATATATATATATATATATAAATATATATATATATATATATACATATATATATATATATATATATATATATATATATATATATATATATATATATATATATATATATATATATAACTATGAATCAGTATAGACAACATCTCTGGCGTAACAATAAATATAAAAATAACAATAAAATTAAGCTAAAAAGTTTCTAATTCTTAGGGTAGATAATTTTTTTACATCATTAAACAATGATATATATATATATATATATATATATATATATATATATATATATATATATATATATATATATATATATATATATATATATATATATATATATATATATATATATATATATATATATATATATATATATATATACTATATATATATATATATATATATATATATATATATATATATATATATATATATATATATATACATATGTAAAGATCTTAAAATTGGTCATACCGTGTTTTTAAGATCTTAAAGATCTTAAAAACACGGTATGACCAATTTTGTTTTATTTGCTGACTTAAAGGGATCCCCAACTGCCAAAACA